AAAATCGGCGCGCGACTCTATCTGACTATTCTGCCATTTTTGTCAAAACTTTATAACGTTTCAGAATCGGCTCCAACCCCTGCAGCGACCACCCCTACACCCGTGGCTGCACCTACCCCGGTGAGACCTACGAAAGTGTTTCTCGGCAGTGCATGGTGGCAATTTCTCGCCCTAGCCATGGGATCTTCGTTGAAGTACATGCATATTCGCATTGGTGTGTAGGCATCCGAGAAGATCTATTGCGTACCAACATCAACGTATATGTTCAACACGTATTTAAAGAATGTGTTCACCCTTTCGCCCATTGGTTTCCCCTCTACACGGGCTGCAGTTATTTGAATTCCGCCACAACGTGTGAAGTCGCGTCGTGTTGGTGGGGGGGTGTTCATTGCTGATTTTACTCGCGGTTTGAAGTCTGGTCGCGATGCGAAAACTTCGCGCAACGTCCTGAGGCCAATCAACGTCTTCCTGGTGTTCCGCGGCCCCTGGGCCCAAGTCTTGACAAGATCTCGACAGGACAACCTTTCGTTTTTCTTTATCTGCTCCGCGTAGTATTTCTGTAGTGAAGTACACAAGTCACCATGCTGGCTGCATGTCATTATACAACTTATGAAACATCAATAGCTCCTTCTTCGACCGCTAATATTCGTGAGCAAAGAATGAAGCCACTCAGAATAAAGAGGTTTGCTTGCATCGCGGTTTGGTTGAGTGCTCGTCGGCTTGATAAGGGCGTTATGGCCACGGGATTGAATGGTCATCAAACCTGATAGCTTAACTGATGCGTATGTTTCTGCAAGCCAATGAATTGACTGATGTACCGCGTGCATCAAGACCATATCTCGTAATTCCGCGGCGTTCAAACAGCCCCGTTGGCGTCTTTGAAGCGTAAACAAACGGTGGACGCTGTAGACATTGTGCTGTATTGCAAGCGTACGTGGCTTACTTTGTTTTTCTCAATGTCGGCTGTTCATGTTAGAGAGGTCTTCATGTACGTCATTCACGACTTTCAATCCTCAAATGGGATGAATTTCGCTCTTACCGGTTTCGTCCAACGGGCCATCTTATTTCTCAGCAATGACCTGATAAAGGCTTGGTTATGCACTCACGTAACCGAACGGCAACAATAGTGTACGCCATGTGTTCACCTAGAGCGGACAACGAAACAGGACGCGACCAGTGTGTGCATCAACACAAAGGGTTGAAGTTGTTATCCTTTCCTGTTGCGCAGGTCGCGCCAGTGACAACGACGATGTGCACCGACGACACAGAGGGCGTACTCAGCTTTGACGGAGTGGTATGCTGCTCGCTCGGGTGTGATGGACAGTGCGGCGGGCCAGGATGCGGCTCGTTCGGGTCTGGTGCTGGGCTCGGCTCCGAATCTTGCTGCATCGGAGCAATCATGGATTCCGGCATTACATGCGGCGGAGAGCAGGGAGCCCCTTGCATCGTTGAGACCGAAGAAGGTAAATCGGGACGTCGCATCAACCCACTAGGGGTACCCGGCTAGGCCGTTCGAGAGGGGTTTTTCCCCACAGGCCACGCAGTCAAAAGTTGTAGAACTGTTTGGCGTGATGTTGCGGAATTACCATTCGATACTTCACGGAACAACTTCAAATTTAAAGAGGGAAGAGGATTGCGTAAACGCGGCAAACGTACAAGAATAGCACGAGATTGATGCATGGAGTTGTAATGGATACCGGTTATGTATCTTCACATGAATAGTCCGACGGTTACACCATGAACAAATGTGCGCCGTCTGCTTAAGTTGTTTGGCTCGGGGTATATTTCTTCCATTCAAGTGTAATTCAACCGCCAGAAGTTGATTTTAAAGCGGAAAAGGCTGAAAAGCCTACAATAGGAAAAGAGGTTGTGCGAAAATTTAAATTTTGAAATTCACGTCGCCAAAGGCGGTAGAAACCAGCACTGAAAAAAAATGTAACGGCCAGTCTCACGTTGATTTAGAGGTGTTGTTTTGTTTGTGCGAAGCAACCCCATACATCTCAAATGTCCTTCCTTTTAGGCGCTTATATCGACAAAGTGTGAGACCCCCACCCGAAACAATAAAATTGTATCCCTTTTTGTCCTCCTTTTTTGCCATACTGCGGAAATAACACCACCACGCAAAAGTCTCGGCCCCTACAACGCCGGCCCCTGCCACGCCGACCCCTGCCACGCCGGCCCCTGCTACGCCGGCCCCTGAAGGTGTGGGAGGTGTGGTTCTTGTCTGCCGCTTTTCATGTCTTGGCATCGGATGTATCTAACAGACCCGACACGTGTCTCCCGTACATGACTTCTGTCTCAACACGGCGTCTGAAACCACGGCACATGTAGGTGAACGTGCCTCGTCCTGCAGTTGCGACCGGCATCTGAAGTTTTGAACACCAATGTTATTTCATTATCCAGATGCTTCAAAAACTCTTGAGCGAAGATACTCTGTGGCGAAGACGTGGACTGCCAATGCCGAATACTGTTGTAACTTCAGCACATGGGTTTGCCTCTGAGGATGAGGAATACCTGACAACATGGCGATTTCCCCGCCCTTGACACTGCTGTACCAGATACCGTATACCGTTTTGCGTGTGATGTGAATGTCCTGTTCATTCCTGTATCACATGCCTGAACGATGTGCTGTGCCCAGATCAGGATCGCTGATAACGATTGCTCTGTTACGGGAGAAGCGCCTTGCATTGTGACGAGTAAGCCGATTGGAATGAAGCATGTGGGAACGTCGAACAGACTCACACTCTGATAACGTCTTTCAATGTGGTAGGGTATGGTGACATCTCTCTGGCCCTGTCTCCGCAAATATGTGCCCTTGGCTTTCCCCACCGCCCTTGGAAAGGTATTTCGAACGCCTCATCTTGATATACTCCATTTTCGATAAACGTTTTGAATGGAAGAAATTCAACATCTGGTATGAAACGGCCTTCGTGGCGAGTCCTAAGCAGCTGCATCATACCTCTAGGCTCTCACCCACAAATTGTCAGAGCCCTACCTGAAAGAAGTGTTGAGCTTAATGTCCGTTCCTCTACTCTAACGAATGTATTCCGTCAACGTCCAATTCCCACACGTGCTTGTCAAATATGACACCTATGTACGGACCCGTCCGCCGGCACGCAACAGGCCCGGCTCCTGCTACGCCGGCCCCTGCTACGCTGGCCCCTACAAGTGAAGGTGTGGCTCTTGTCTGCCGCTTGTCGCCATATTTTATGTCTTGGGCATCTATGTATCTCAGACCGTCTTGTGTTTATGACTTGTGCCTTAATAGCGGCTGCTTGCAACCACGGCACATGTATGTGAACGTGCCTCGTTCTACAGGTGCGACCAAACTTGGGAATATGATACGTCTTTATAATTTCCATGATACTTCGAATACTCTGTTGCGAAGACGTGAACTTTCTCTTTACGTTACGGAAAATACCGTCGTTACTCTGGAACTGTGTGTTAACGCACATGGGTTCGCCACTGAAGATGAGAAATTCCGGACTACATGGCGACCTGCCCCCGCCCTTCACCCTGCTGTACCGTTTAGCGTGTCCTGTGAAGGTCCTGTTGTCCTGCTATCACATGCCTGAACGATGTGCTTGGCATAGCAACATTGTTTTCTCGAAGTGACCGACCATTAATTTCTTAATTTCGCTTATCGTTCAACCGCTCACTTCAACGTCAAATAGACGAGATGTGCGAGGGCGGAATTGTCGGAGTCCAGGCTCTTGACGTTTGTTGCGCCCTGAGCTGCGGTTCTTGCGGAGGTGTCGGATGCAGTTCCAGGGACGGTGGAGAAGACAACTGCTGTGGTGCCCAAATCAGGATCGCTGATAACGATTGCTCTGTTACGGGAGAAGCACCTTGCATTGTGACGAGTAAGCCGATTAGAATAAGGCTTGTGTGAACGTCGAAGCGACAAACTCACACTCTTGATAACGTTTTGCGAAACGGTAGACTTGCGTCGAATCTCTTGGGCATTACGCTGCAAAATATGTGCCCTTCTCTTCCTAACCTACACCTGGTATGATAACTGGCCTTCGAGGCAAGTGTCCTAAGCAACTGACGCATCATACCTCCAGGCGCTCAACAACAAATTGCTACAGTAGACCCACCCGAATCAAGTCAAGTTGAACGCGTAACGTCCCTCTACTTAACGAATGTATTCGGTCCACAGTTCCTTTCCACATTTGCAATACTGCACAAACACGGCACAATGTACGGACCTTATCGCCGACACGCTATAGGCCCGGTCCCCGCTACGCCGGCCCCTGCTACGCCGGCCCCTGTTACGTCGGCCTCTGCTACGCTTGCCCCTACACGTGAAGGTGTGGTTCTTGTCTGCCAACACATTTCATGTCTCGGGCATCGGACGTATTTAGACCGAAACACGTCTTTTCTGTTATGACTTTATGTCTCAATGACGGCTGCTTGAAACCACGGCACATGCATGGGAACGTGCCTTGTCCTGCAGTTGCGACCGGCATCTGAACTTGCGAACACGAAATATTTTTTTCTTCCACGATACTCCGAATACTCTGTGGCAAAGACGGTAACTATTTCTATACGGAAAATATATTGATTATTATGCGTTAATGCACATGAGTTCGTCTCTGAAGATAAGAAATTCCGGACTACAAGTCGACGTGCCCCCGCCCTTCACACGACCAACCATTTAGCGTGTGAATGTCCTGTTCATCATATGTCTGAACGATGTGCTTGGCATTGCAAATTGTTTTGTTTCAAGGTTATCAACCACTAATGTCTTGATTTCGCCTATCGTTCAACCGCTCACGTCAACGTATATAACAGCGGGGACTTGCGAGGGCGGAATTGTCGGCGTCCAGGCTCTTGATGTTTGCTGCGCCCTGAGCTGCGATTCTTGCGGAGGTGTCGGGTGCAGTTCCAGGGACGGTGGAGAAGACAACTGCTGTGGTGCCCAAATCAGGATCGCTGATCGCGATTGCTCTGTTACGGGAGAAGCGCCTTGCATTGTGACGAGTAAGCCGATTGGAATGAAGCATGTGGGAACGTCGAAGCGACAAACTCACACTCTGATAACGTTTTGCGAAACGGTAGACTTGCGTCGAATCTCCTGGGCCCTCAGCCGTTTGCCCTTGCCTTCCCAACCGCGTTGGACAGGTAATTCGAACGCTTTATTTATAATATACTCCATTTTCAATTCAAACGTACCGATAGAACGAGATTCAACATCTGGTATGAAACTAACCCTTACCCTCTGGTATGAAACGCCTTTCTAGGCGAGTTCTAAGCAACTGAAGTATCATTCCTTTAGGCGCTCTTTACAAACTGTAGACCTCCATCCGAGACTATGACAGTCGAACGTTTAATTTCCGTCCCTCTACTTCAACGAGAGTACTCCATCCACAGCTCTCTTCCACAATTAATTGCAATACTTATGACACTTTTTACGGATCTGTCTTTCAACACGCAACAGGCCCGACGCCGGCCCCTGCTACGCCGGCCCCTACCCCCGAACGTGAGGTTCTTCGTTGCCGCCTGTTGCGATATACTAAAGCGATATACTAAATCATCTGCATCTCATGTATCGCAAAATGTGTGCTCATGTCTTCGGTAGACAAACGTTGTCGGCCTGCAGCTGGGACTGGCACCTGATTTCCACAACAGTGTGACCTGATATTGCTTTTTCAATATGATGTCATAGAGCTTGTGTGGCGAAGACATGTCGTCTGCGTCTCAATGAAATAGTGTCGTTAGGTTTAGGGTTAGGGTGAGCTGCATCCGCCGTCCACACCGTATGGTAAGGCTGTTTTGCGAATCTTATTATCTCGTTTTGTCCCATAACCGATCGATGATAGCTCGATAAATATAGATATCCCACGCCGATGTCAGGTACCACGTAGTGCGCATCTTACATTGATGACGCGTTGTGGGAATGCTTTCGCCTGAAGTCCTCGCGTATGTTGACCGCTGTGATATCAAACGGTGTCTTTATCCAAACCGAACAGTGTCGATGTGCGACGGCGGGATTGTCGGGATCCAGACGAGCGACGTATGCTGCTCCGCAAGCTGCGGGTCTTGCGGAGGCACCGGGTGCTCTGGCAGGGACGGTGGCTCAGGTGCCTGCTGTGGTGGCGGAGTCAGGGCCTCCGGTCGCTACTGCTCTGTTACGGGAGAAGCACCTTGCATGACCGGTGAGCCTGTTGGAAGTGACCCAAGTTTGAACATCAAAAGTGACGAACTAACACTGGGTAACGTTAGTCGGTCGTTCACAACGTTGGGTCTGAAACTCTATATTGTAGCTATTTATGCTTGCTCCGATACGCTTCCCCGATCTCGAAGAAGAAATTTTAGGCAATATGATGTTAGCAATTTACCTTCAAAAACTGACCAAAGTTTATTACGGTGGGCAGGATTAACCCCAGTGAACCGTGAATCATGCATGTTATGCAGCTGCGATTCAGGCACATTAAGCTGTAGCAGTGTCTGACCCCATCGAAAACAGGCAGCGCTATCCGAAGCCATATTTCAGTTTTGTTTCGTCGACATGGTGTGTTGAATGTCAACGATACTACGAACGGGCGCTTGCTCCATTCGTGAAACAGGCGCGGCCCCTACTCCGGAACCTACACCGGCCCCTACGCCGCCCCCTACGGTTGAAGGTAAACGGTGGCCGTTGCAGTGTTGCGCCATGAAACTTCAGCCTGTCTCCAGGACAAGATATCTCGTCGACGTCGACCGCGTCCACCGCACATGACTCGATACTCTGTATATAGGTCAGCATATACTTTCTACCAACACGTAATGGTGCTGTCGAAAGTGAGCTCTACCTGAAACAACTTCACCCACGATTACGCCAGGTCTCAGGTAGAGATTGACCAATGGATGACGTCTGGCCTTCTTTGTACTTGAAGTTATTCATGCAAGTGAATAATGCGGCTGTGATTTTTTACGCCTGCATCCAAACCGAACAGTTCCGATGTGCGACGGAGGTATCGTCGGCATCCAGGCGAGCGACGTATGCTGCTCGGCAAGCTGTGGGTCTTGCGCAGGCACCGGGTGCTCTGGTAGGGACGGTGGCTCAGGTGCCTGCTGTGGTGGCGGAGTCCAGGCCTCCGGTCGCTACTGCTCTGTTACGGGAGAAGCACCTTGCATGACCGGTGAGCCTGTAGGCACGAGCGACGCAAGTGTGAATACCAAAAGTGACAAACTCACGTCAGGTTTTCTCATTCTCTACTTGGACGGCTAGGTAGGATTTACCTCAAGTGAACCATGCATGTTCGTGCAGCTGCTTTATTATCTTTCATTACGCCCATGATGGGAAAGGAGTGTCAGACTACATCGGAACACACACACATGAAGGCACCAGAGGGTCAGACCCCATCGGAAACAGGCAACGCTGCCGGAAGCCCAATTCAGCTTCTGTGCTTCAAAATCGTGCGTTGAACGTCCTCTTCCTGTAACACTGTACCAACACTAATATCAACGGGCGCTTGCACCATTCGTGTAACAGGCCCGGCCCCTACTCCGGAGCCCACGCCGGCCCCTACGCCGCCCCCTACCGTTGAAGGTAAGCGGTGGTTGTTGGAGCCTTGGCGCCAAAACACTGAGCATGTCTCCAAGATCAGATATCTTGGCGACCTGACCCGCGTCCATCGTACATGACTTAATTGTTGTGGCTGAACAAAATTGGACAGGCTTGGTGGTACAGCATGTTACATGTCGCGCCTATATCGAAGCTATCCTGTGTAGAGTCAGCACATATTGGGTTCTTCTGCAGGACAGACATGACTGTCGGCAATTTTCCCCGCGTTTGGCGCTGTCACGTGACCGACTTTCCATTCTTCCAACACGTTACGGTGTCGCCGAAAATAAATTCTAAACTGAAATTTCACCGACGACTACTCCAGGTTCCAGCTAGAGCGGGAGTGACTCATTGATGACGTCTTACCGTGTCTCTAAAGTTGAACACATCCCTTCCAAGGAAATAATGCGGCTGTGATTTGAATGACGTCGTTATCCAAACCAAACAGTTCCGATGTGCGACGGAGGAATTGTCGGCATCCAGACGAGCGACGTATGCTGCTCCGCAAGCTGTGGGTCTTGCGGAGGTACCGGGTGCTCTAGCAGGGACGGTGGCTCAGGTGCCTGCTGTGGTGGCGGAGTCAGGGCCTCCGGTCGCTACTGCTCTGTTACGGGAGAAGCACCTTGCATGACCGGTGAGCCCGTAGGCACGATCGACGCAAGTTTGAACATCGAAGGGGACGAACTCACACATTGTAGTAACTTAGACGTTTCTTCCTTCGACTTTGAGCCTGTCCCTTTCATAGCTAGGTACGAGTTACCCCCAGTGAACCATGCAAGTTTGTGGAGCTTAATTGTCGTCTTTCTTCAGGCGCACGACTTTCATCAGGCACACGATAACACAGCAGTGTCAGACCCCATCGGGAACACGCAGCGATATCGGAAGCCTTACTTCTGGTTATTTTTGTCGGCGTACAGTAGTGCGTTAAACATTTCCTTCCTTGCAACGGTGCGGCGACAAAACCATTAACGTGATCTTGCACCATTCGTGAAACAGGCGCGGCCCCTACCCCTGAACCAACGCCGGCCCCTACGCCGCCCCCTACTGTTGAAGGTAAGCGGTGGCCGCTAAAGCCTTGCGCCAAAACAGTCTAGCATGCCTTCAGGATCAGATATCTTGGATGATAACAGGTCAGAGCATGTTTTCTTGCCTCTGCAGGAGACACTCCGACGCTTTGACTGATCCGCGTATTCCCCCCGCTCTTTGTGTGTCACGTCAATGTGTGTGACTGTGCATTGCTCGGCTGTCGTCTCTTACCGATGGCTATGACGAGGGCATGGTGAGCCACAAAATGAACTCGTACTAACACAACTGAATTACTACGACAGGTCCCACGTTTGTATTGGATATTTGAATTTGTCTGGTTGGCATCCTTCAGTTGAAATCACCTCCGTAAAGTTCGACCGCTGCGTGAAATCGAACAGTTCCTATGTGCGACGGCGGGATTGTCGGCATTCAGACGAGCGACGTATGCTGCTCCACAAGCTGCGGGTCTTGCGGAGGTACCGGGTGCTCCGGCAGGGACGGTGGCTCAGGTGCCTGCTGTGGTGGCGGAGTCAGGGCCTCCGGTCGCTACTGCTCTGTTACGGGAGAAGCGCCCTGCATGACCGGTGAGCCTGCAGGCACGAACGATGATGGTTCGGAAGTCAACGAGAGAAATCCACAGGTAACTCCCTTTTCCTCCATCTTTGCCATCTTGATCGTTTCGTACCTCGATATCTTCATATCTGGTTATCCTTCCTTCAACAACCTTCTCCCCTCTTTGAGAGAGGGATGTCGACCTGTCGCAACTTGATATTTGTACGCCAAATTTAAAAACGTTAGAAAGTTAAAGTTTTAACCTGGTACAGTAGCAGTAGTGTAGCATTATGATTAAAAACACATCTATCGTGCAGCTGCAATTCTCGTCTTCCATACAGCTTGATTAAAAATCGATGTCAGACACCATCGAAAACAGACACAACCGGAAGCCTGACTTCCGGTTCCATGCGTCGACGTATTGAACGACCTCCTGCAACACTCCGCCAACAATCCTACGAACGGATGCTTGCACAATATGTAAAACAGGGTCGGCCCCTACCCCGGTCCCTACGCCGGCCCCTACCCCGCCACCTACAGTTGAAGGTAAGCTGTGTTGCGTTGCCGCCTTGCCCTAAAATCTAAGGTACCTGAGTGCGTGTGGTGACGCAGCTTTTATGTCCTGATGATCATTAGAAAAGTAGAACGACGCGATCGTGCACTTTGAAAAGAGGTCATTCTACACGGATACCTGTGTCATTTCCGTCTGCAGGACATACTTTGACTTGTCAACTGATCCGCAAAAGACTGTGCACACATGTTTCGCACTGTCGCGTCTTGATAATCTGTGAGGCGCGTTAAAAATTTAACTTTCCCGGAATGACGTCATCCCCAAGTGAACGATTGACCATCATGTTGTCTGGTCGATGAAGTTTGGTCGGCTTCGTCGTCTCTCTGGAACCCACCCAACATAAGCTGTCTTGACGTGAATTTTTTGGCGTCTTCATCCAACAAAACAGTCCCGAAGTGCGACGGCGGAATTGTCGGCATCCAGGCGAGCGATGTATGCTGCTCCTTGAGCTGTGAATCTTGCGGAGGTTCCGGGTGCAGTGGCAGGGACGGTGGCGAAGACGAGTGCTGTGGTGGCGGAGTGAGGGCGTCCGGTCGCGATTGCTCTGTTACGGGAGAAGCGCCTTGCATCGTGACGAGTAAGCTATTTGGAATACGCTTGTGGGAACGTTGCAGGGACAAACTCACACCCTGATAACGTTCTTTGAAAGGGTAGAGATGCGTCGAATCTATTGGGCCTCCGGTCCCTGCAAACATGTGCCCTTCTCTTCCCTTACCGCCTTTGGATAGGTTTTTGGGCCCTCGGTCGCTACAAATATTCGCCCTTCTCTTCCCTTTACCGCCATTTCGGACGCTTTATTTTTGGTACACTTCATTTTCGATACAAATATCGATAGGAAGAGATCCAACTCCTGGTATGAAACTGCCTTCGAGGCGAGTCCTACGCAACTTAAACATCCATTCTCCAGACGCCCATCTACAAGTTGTTAGACGCCCACCCGCAACAAGTAAAGTTGCGCTTCAAGACCGTTCCTCTACTAAAACGGATGATTTCCTTCAAACGTCCTTTACCACAAATAAATGCAATACTGCGCAAACATAACACACTATCTACACATCCCGTTTACACGTAACAGGTCCGGAACCTTCGACGCCGGCCCCCACGCCAGCCCCTACACGTGCAGGTGCGGTTCTTGCTGCGATTTGTCGCCATGAGTCATGTCTTGGGCATCGGAAGTATCGCAGACCGACACTTTGGTTTTCTTCATGACTGCTGTCTCAACAACGTTTTTTCGAAACCACGACACATGAATGTGAAGTTGCCTCGTTCATAAGGTGCGACCGGCATGTAAAGATTTGAACACGAGATGTGTTTTACCATCCATGATACACTCCGGATACTCTGTGGGAGAAGATGTGGACTGCCTATATACGGAGTACTGTAGCAACTTCAATACCGTCAGGTGACTTGCCCCCGCTCTTAACACTCTTAACACTGCTGTACCAGTCAGCGTGTCCTGGAATGTCCGTATCGTACGTCCGAACGATGTGCATGGCATAGCACCATTGTTTTCTCAAGGTGACCATAAATTTTGTTTGGCTTTTGTCCGCGTACTTCAACGTAAAACAGCGGGGACGTGCGATGGCGGAATTGTCGGCGTCCAGGCTAGTGATGTTTGCTGCGCCTTGAGCTGTGGTTCTTGCGGAGGTGACGGGTGCAGTGACAGGGACGGTGGAGAAGACAACTGCTGTGGTGTCGAAATCAGGACGGCTAATCTCGATTGCTCTGTTACGGGAGAAGCCCCGTGCATCGTGACGAGTAAGTTGATTGGAATGAAGCTTCCAGTAACGTCGTAGGGACGAACTCACACTCTCATAACTTATTTCGAAACGATAAAATTGCGTCAAATCTGAGTGGTTCCTGCACATATTTGCCCTTCCCTTTCTTAACCGTATTCGTCTTCTCTTCCCTAACCGCCTTTGGATAGATATTTCGAACGCTTCATTTTTTGCCGCACTTTATTAATGATAGGACCTGGTGTAAAACTCTCTTCGAGGCGAGTCCTACGCAACTTGAACATCCTTTTCCAGGCCCCCATCGACAAATTGTGAGACTCCCACCCAAAACAAGTGAAGTTAAAACGCTCAACGACCGTTCCTCTACCACAACTAATTCATGCCGTCCAACGCCTATTTTCCTCATTTCCTCATATGGACTACTGCGCAAATATCCATTATGTGAAAAATATTTCGCCAACACGCAACAGGTCCGGAACCTTCAACGCCGGCCCCCGCTACGCCGGCCCCCGCTACGCCGGCCCCCACGCCGGCCCCGTCACGTGCAGGTGCGGTTCTTGCTGCGACTTGTCGCCATAGTCATGTCTTGGGCATCGGATGTATCACAGACCGACACTTTGGTCTTCTGTTCATGACTGCTGTCTCAACAACGTTTTTTCGAAACCACAACACATGAATGTGAAGTTGCCTCGTTCATAAGGTGCGACCGGTATCTTAAATTTTGTACACGATATGTTTTTTACTATCCATGATACACTCCGGATACTCTGTGGAGATGTATGTGGACTGCCTACATACGGAGTACTGTAGCAACTTGAACACGTTTCGTCAATGCGCATTGGTTTGCCCTTGAAGATGAGGAATACCTGACTACATGCACATACCTGGTTTTGATTATGACTTGCCCCCACTTTTAACACTTGCCCCCCCTTGTACCAGTGCTGTACTGTCTAGCGTGTCCTGGAAGGTCCTGTTCATTCCTGTATAGTACGTCTGAACGATGTGCATGGCATAGCAACATTGTTTTCTCAAGGTGACCGACCATTAATTTCCTCTGGCTTTCTTCCGCTCCCTCCATCGTAAAACAGCGGGGACGTGCGAGGGCGGAATTGTCGGTGTCCAGGCTAGTAATGTTTGCTGCGCCTTGAGCTGCGGTTCTTGCGGAGGTGACGGGTG